CATCATTTGTGAGAAATCAGGATGGCAAGCACTGTATTCAAGACTATGGTTTTTGAATTAATCTTCTTATGATTTCAAAGTGAAGCAATATGTCCTTAGAGGCATCTCAATGAAAAAGTCCTATGAAAATAGGTTTTCTAAGTGTACCTAACAAATATTGCTCTAGGACCAATAGTATTTTGGCTTATGTCCCATATAGATACTTTAGGCTTCCCACAGGAATTTTTTGAAAGGGATGTCTGGTTACACACAAGGTTTGGACATGCTGTAATTCTGTGTTTTTATCAAGCAGCAAAGTTTACTGAATTTATACCCATAACAAAATGAGTATAAAAGATGGACAGTGTACCCCTTTTAAAATAAGATTTATTTATTTCAGGACACCATGAATAAATATTTCTGTCACAGGAATGCAGACAATGTGGGAACACTGTTCCATGCCAAACAGCGGTTTGGACACAGAGCTGTTAAAAAGAATGTTATGGAATGCTATAACCATGTAAAAGATTTCCTCAACTTTTACACTGATGGAATGGTTTGTATTCTTGCAATGAAGATAAAAAATATGAACAGATTGGATGCAAAACCAAATGACCTCCCTACTGTGACTGCAACTAAAGAACAAAAAGAGAAGTATTTGAAAGATTTGTCTAGTGAAATTGTCAATTATGTCTGGCCAACTGTTGACAGAAAAAACATCAAGAAAGTAGGGGAATTAGAAGTGGACGATGATTTAGACGATGATCGAGAGTACTGTACATGTGATGGTGAAGGTACAGTTTAACATAATTTATACAATGATAACTTTCTGCTAACAAATAGAAACAGAAATTATTCAAACTTGGTGTGCTATTATCTAGGAAATGTGATCACTTATATATTATTTTTCATATACATATTTGTCTTGTTTCAGGAGACGTAGACAGTCTTTCAATGATTGAATGTTCTGCGCAGAAAAATTGTGAATGTGCCCAATGGTACCATTTTGAGTGTGTAGGATTGGATGAGGAAGATGATTTATTGGAAGACTGGTGGTGCTCTGATGGGTGCAAAAAATGGTCTATTTATTGTTGTAAGCGGAACAGAGAGGAAGAGGAGGATGTTGTATGGATTGGTTGCAGCAATGAAGCTAGTTGTATTAATAATCAATGGTTTCACTTAGATTGTAAAGGACTGAAGGAATTACCAGGTATATGTCATCTGGCTGTATGTGGTGGGTAAAGGGTAAGGTAGCGACCAAATTAACTTGAAAATATATTTCTGTGGATTTGATATACATGTAAATGTTATTGAATCTAAATGTACGTTTCTAATGTCAAACCATTAGAATTCAATTCAATCTAGTTTTATAATTAGGCCAACACATTTTTTGAATGCTCTGCCTTACACAGAAAAGTCAAGAATTCTTGTTCTATTACAAGACAAAAAATTGCATCACTGCACTATTCTATGCCAAATGCTATGAGCAGAGACAAGTTTTTTGAGGGGGGGGGGGCTAAGGGTATACTGATACCTTTACTTTTAATTAAAATGATTATGATATCAAAATTTGTTTCAGATGGTGACTGGTTCTGTTGCCAAGACTGTAGAATGTCTTTCAATGATTCTGAAGAGATGGACAGTATAAATGAATACTCCTGTGCTGTCACCTGGAGAGGCTTGTACCACCTTGCCAATAGAGATGCAGAGCGACAAAATGATGGGCAGGCCATGATATCAAATTGGAAAATAAACATGCTAGATTTTTGGAATAACAATCACAACAAGTATTTGATACTTGGTCATCGCTTATTATCATGTATGTATATTTACTTAATGAATTGGGTATATACAGAATGTTGCACAATGTGATATTTTTCTCATAAAATTCCCAGGACACTAGCTGTAATAATTGAAACTCTGACTCGGTGTATGTGGTCAAGTAGGAGTACTTTGAACATTTTGAGTAATTTGAAAAAACCTTAATTCTTTTAGAATCCACATGCTTGATTTTTATTTTTTTTGCCAACAATATTTGTATTATTGTTACAAAAATTGTGCTTTTATTTCACCCTTTCACTCAGTTCCATAATGTTCAACTTTACAATTTTTCACAAAATAGATTTGTGTAAAATCTACATGTTTTCTCACAAATTTTGGACCAAGACCTATAATCAACAAATCTATTCTGATTTTGTCCAAAAATAAACTGGGAAATCAGATAAAATTTCAGAAATACAAAAATTTTTTAATGCAAATTTTGTTAAGAAAATGGTGGCAGTGAAATCATACAATATTGTTTCTATTATGCACTATCAATATCAAACAGTTTGTTGACAATGACAAAAGGTAACCATATTGCCACACTGAAAATTAACATGAACAGCTAGTGAAATACTGTAAAATACTTTATTTTAGCTGGAATTAATTTTCGCTGAAAAGACTTTTTGGGTGTTTTGTATGGAGTATATTTTCACTGATTTTTGACAAGCTCAATGTAAAATATAGAAAAAAAAGTATATTCGCTGGATTTTATATTCACAGAGTCATTCTTTCAGCAAAAAATGAAAATTAATTCTAAGCGAAAATAAAGTATTTTACAGTATAGTTACTAAAAACACTATTTTTCTAGATATCAATGGATTTCTACCTGCACGTTTGGCATATGAGATGGTTTGGGAGGCTACAGCAAATCTTGAAGGTGGTATTGGCAAGAATATTGCTTTAGATCTGGTCAATGAGTTTTTGAACAATGACTTTAAACGTAAGCACAATTGTTTAATAGCAAACTTATAAATCCATACTGCTAAATTTTCAAATTTTTTACCAAACTGCTAAAAATATTCCTATTCTATAGTATAACTATATACCGGTATAATAATATACTTTTCTTCTGTTAATAGAAAACCTCAAGCATTCAAGAGGACAGTATACTGATGCACATGTTGCATGGTGCAGTCAAATTGTCGGTAGTTTAGGAAAATCTTTAGAGAAGGTATACATGGCGGAGGTGATGGATAAGTATATACCAAAGTCAAAGACAACTGCAGGGGATTACAGAAAACATGTTTAGAGATTTGTCAGTGAATACAAGCATGCACAGTTGTTTGAGAAATTGGGAAACAGAAGCCACAGTGGGTTTGAAAATCATAAAAATTCCATATGCCTTGAACACCCTGAATAACTTAAACAGAGACTAGTTAAGATAGAGATGCAGTTTATTTGGCTTGCTTTTTAATTTAGTAATTAGACAATGAAGATGGTATTATATATCCAA